AATGAAACAAAATCGATGCATAGCGTAATGAGGATTTAAATTAAAATATTAAATCAATGAAAAAAATCCCGAGAAAGTAATTTGCCTGGGAGCCTTTGCCTTTTTTCTGTATTAGTAACATGACCATGGGCGCGGCCTGATGACGTCATCACTAGTGTCACTGGTCATGAAAAAGTTGAAACACATGAAAGAACTCTGAACTAACTAAAAATGAGGAGGTTAGATGAGACTAAATTTTCCTTAGCAACGGCTCGAAAAGATCGGTTAATGGGCCCTTACGTCAGGTTATTTCTCTGTGGGAGAAGGAAGGGGTACTCGCAAAGGCAAAATTTCGGCGCAAATTAACCCCTGGCGTGTTGTTGACTTTTCTTCTGACATATTCCTTGTACAATCGTCTCTTGGAAAGTCCCTGATATATTGCGTACGTAATTTCTACAATCTTGGTTAGGCTTGTTGAGTAGAGTTTGTTAAAATTTAACTGGAAAAAACAGCAAAACCACACGCTGAACAATTACACGCTCACAATTGATCATTTTTTGAGTTTCTGATCCAAGAAAAAATAATTCGCGTTTTCCTTTATCGTCAGTGATCAGGAGCTCCGCTTTTAGGCTTGGCTAAATCTATATATTATTTTGTTCTATTTTGAATAGCGTGACACTGAAAACCAGCAATATATCGGCTCACCGCCGCGGTTTTAGCATCTGTACGATTGTGTTGATTTAGACTCCAATTTCATGTTAAAAGCAATTCATAATTAAATTGTACAATTGACGATTCAACAAAAAGACGGCGAATTTAGTCTTCCTGGCCTCAAAAGGCATACAGGAGAGTTATTTCCTTTTATTTGAGCTACGATAAGCCTTGTGGAAAGCTAAGCTCTAGGACAGAATTGTATCAAGATTATCAGTGACAAGTCGAATTCTGTGGCTATGTTTTGGCGAATCCAGGCAGAGTTATTAAAATTAAATGTCGCGTAAGGGTTACTTTTTCGCTGAAATATAGAAGTAAATAACCGATTCAACTGTTTAACATGCTCTTGTCGCAATGATTGGCTAATTTAACTCACAGTAAAGACATAGTGAGGTCATTTAGGTGAAATCGAAGAGGTTAAGCTTGTCTAGAGCCGCGAATCAAATGATCAATTTGAGATAATTTGCAGTGGCTTGGACTCATCTGCAGCGACTTGAAAGGCTTGCATAGACATGGTATGGCCTCTATTAAGAGTACACGAGATAGATAGCATTCTCAATACGACATGACCATATTTATGTACACTATCTGACCGATTTTCCAAAAACATGCCTGCTATTTTAGTGCAAAGTCTTTAACACGGTTGTCATAAATTCAGACATGTACTCTGTGTAAGCCAGAGGTTGGCATGTTGTTTATGTCGATATTGGCCACTGGAAAACCAAGTGATGGAATTGCTCCCCACTAACAAACCATTTTAGGCAGAATACCTCGGTCTTAAAAGTCTTAAAGTTCGGGAAGAAGAAGGCTTAGAAGGCAAACAAGTCTCGATAAAGGAGATAGAAATCTGTAAGATCGACAGCAATAAGGGAAAAGTTTATCCGAAACATCAACAACAAAAAAAACTACAAAGAAATTGGAAAAAAAAAATCAGTCAATCAGTTTAAGAAAAACAACAAGTTGGAAAGAAAAAAACCCAAAGAGGTTGGAAAAAATTATAACTAAATAAATAAATCAATTTTTTAAAGGACCCTTAAAGCAAAAAATTCTGTGGCACCACTCGAGATTTTCTTTCCGGCCCGAGCTCGATTCTCGATCGGGGGAGAGGTTATTCGACTCCCAAGCCGTTCGAGAATAACCGCTTTAATGACATATCGAGACTTGATGCCAGATGTGACCTTTGGATCAGCCGCACGCAGCTCATCCCGCTGGACCACCAGTGGAAATCCCTTGGGTTGTTGGTAACAAATTAATATGTGTGTAGTACGTGATGATATGCTGATTTCCGGTTCCGCTTAGTCAGAGAGTGGGGACTGTATTCTGCTACTTATAGAACGGAGGCTAGAAACTCGGGTCGACATTTAGGCCGTTTGCCATGGGGCGATAATGTTGTGCTTGCTTTAGACAACAAAGATCTTTAGCCACATTAATTTAGGGCTTAGACATGCAATGGACTAGACATTTGTAGCTGCTGTTGGTGTTATTTGGTCTGAACTTTGTTTGGCTTAAGACTTAGAGAGAAATCTGTTGAAGTCTGGATATCCCATTTCGCGCTCGACCAAATTCAAGTACATCCGGGACATTGCTATTTGCGAACAAAACACGGCCACGAGCAGAGTGAAGAACATTAGGTCAAGCGCTGATCGAGAGTAGAATTTCCTTGTTTTATCAATTTTAGGTGTTCTCGGCCTAGCTAACTATCAGAACTGTCTGCGATTTGCTAGTGCGGAAGAAATTTATTTGCGTGGCTTCCAGGCGATATAATAATTGACGCAACAAAAACATGTTGAGTGTTCGCCAACTCATAATTATGGCCTAGTTTGTTTGAAGTTCAATCGATTCTCGATGTAGGAAGCTCTTGTTCAGTACATTTAGGATGATGCAGGTTTTAGAAAGCTATAGATCAGTTCTCCAGCGCAGTTTTGACATCTGTACGTTTGTGTTGATTTAAACTCCAATTTTATGTTGAACGCACTCTTAATTAAATTATACAATCAACGAAAACTGTGTTTAGCCTGGGCTAAACTTAGCACAAACTGAAAAGGGGGCTGGAGGGGAGTGATAAATAATGAATAAATAATGAAAAAAATAGATAAATAAATGAAACATGCTGCAAGAAGTTCTCTACATTTCATGCAAGGTAAAATTTACACGCTGCTGACATAGCGAAAGCAAAAAGAAAAATTAAATAAAAAAAATAAATAAATAAATAAATAAACACTTGATTTAGTCTTTAACACCGTTTTCATAAATCCACTGAGAAGTATACATATTGCCTGGTTTTCTTGAAATGTAATTGATTTAGGATGTAGAAGGCTTTACACGACCTCGTTTGTGATGGTGCATGCCTTTAGTAATTTGCAGATCAGTCAGCTGTCGCGGTTTTAAGTGCAAGTTGGTTTTTAGTAGAATCACATTTCCGCGCTTTTGTTTTTTCGCGTGTCCTATGGGTCTCAAAACTAAGACATGCATTGGAGTTATTTCGTCTAGCTCACTACAAAAGGAATCTATCAAAACTTTCAGTGATAGGCATGTGTGGAATTTCTGTGGGTAAGTTTGATAGGACTGGTCAGAATTAGTGCAATAGGACCATGATTGAAAGGCAATATCGGCTGAAATATGTGGCTGATGTCATGGTTTGCCAGCTTAGTCGCTTTCGGGTGGGTAGGGGACAACTATCCTTGGGACACTGGTGCGTCATTCTTATTGCTGCTGTTGTTCCCCGCCGCTGCTAGAAAACCCTAGTCAACTTTCTTGTTAAGAGAGTTAAACAGTTGAACCCAATGAAAAGGGAGAATACTGAAATATGAGTATAATATTCAAAATTCCTGCATGATATGGCACATTTTCGCTTTGGACACTTGTTTTGGATACTGATTCTGCTCGTAAATTGGTGGCGCATTCTGACGGTGGACAACACTCAAACAAAACTATGGCGTTTTCTTCTCAAAATTCTGTTCAGGCAACCAAATTCTGCTCCAGAATCTCTGCTCGAGATAAGAGTCCGATCAGCTCAGCTACATCTTGTATCAATAAATTGCAGCAAACAGCGCATAGAAAACACCCGTTCTTGTTCGCAGTGAGTCGACCAATTGTAAGCAGATCTTACGTTGTGCGGTACGGCTTGGCAGATATAGCAATGAAAAGCAGCAGTTGCGAATGATACTCAGCAATTTCAATTATTTTTGAAGTGTATGTCTGTTTTCAAATTTCCAACCATTACCTTATGGGTTGCTAACTGTTTTAAATCCTGTCCGAATACCCCTCAATTTTGGCTGAAAAAATGCGCAATTCTGGCTGATGACGGTAACGAACAATGCTCGAGTTTCTAGCCTACGCTCTATAACTAGCAGAATACAGTCCCACTCTCTGACTTAGCGGAACCAGAAATCAGCATATCATCATGTACTATACACATATTAATTATCTTAATTTGTTACCAACAACCCAAGGGATTTCCAGGTGGTCCAGCGGAATGAGCTGCGTGCGGCTGATCCAAAGGTCGCATCTGGCGGTCTCAAGTTCAAGTCTCAATATGTCATTAAAGCGGTTATTCTCGAATGGCTTGGGGGTCGAATAACCTCTTCCCCGATCGAGACTCGAACTCGGGCCGGGAAGAAAATCTCGAGCGGCGCCACAGAAGTTTTTGCTTTAATTAACTGAATTTATTTCGTTACAACTTTTTTCAACCTCTGTTTTTTTTCTTTCTAACGGGTATGGTGTTGTTTTTCTTAAATTGACTGACTGATTTTTTTTCCAATTTCTTATTAGTTTTGTTGTTGTTGTTGATGATGCTTCGGATAAACTTTTCCCTTATTGCTGTCGATCTTACAGATTTTTATCTCCTTTATCGCGACCTATTTGCTTTCTAAGCCTTCTTCTTCCCGAACTTTAAGACTTTTAAGACCGAGGTACGTAGTCTGCCTAAAAAGGTTTGTTAGTGGGGAGCAATTCCATCACTTGGTTTTCCAGTGGCCAATATCGACATAAACATGCCAACCTCTGGCTTACACAGAATACATGTCTGCATTTATGAAAACCATGTTAAAGACTTTGCACCAAAATACCGGGCATGTTTGTGGAAAATTGGTCAGATTTATCCATTCCAAAATGCTACTGAAGGACAACTTCAAACGTTTACTCAAGACAGTGTCTGACCAGATTTCCAAACACCTCGAAGTTCGTCAGAGGTACTTCGCTACGCATCGTATTTTCAACTCTCTTCTTGATGTTTGGAAATGTGGTCAAACACGGTTTTTCGTGTTTGTTACATTACTTCCTGTGTTTCTAAAGTTGTCAATGAGAAAAAAAAATAAACGGCCCCTGTGAGGCAGCTCATGGATGAATGTTTCCTTATGCTGTTGTTTCACAATGAGTCTTCGTGCGAAACCTGAGTTTGATTGGCATGAAAAATGAACCTGTAGGTGGAAGTCATATGAATGGTTTCGCATTTAGACTCGTTTTGACAGAGGCAAAAGGTAACTCGGAAATGACCTATTGGATGAATGTAGAAAAGGTAGTAGAATAAAAAGAGAAGAGTGAAAAACAGGAAAGTAGACATCTGTTGGTCAAATGTGATGCATAGGTTCTGATGTCTAAATATGGTTGCTTATTGACACCCTTTAGGTGGCTGAATTCGTTCTCTGGTAAAATCATTTTTAATAAATAATTATTTATTACACATTTGAAATAGATTTCAAGAGAGTGCAACAACAAAAATCAAGAAGAACACTCCTTTTATTAGGAACATTTTCTTTCTTAGTAACGCACTGAAATACTGACTACCATAACGTAGCACATAAAAGCTAAGAGGAAACATTTTAGCCAACAGTCTCCTATACATGCACGTTATCAATTTTTTGCTGAGTTATAAATAACATAATCTTTACCGCAGCAGGACACACATGTAGTAGAAGTACAGCAAGACAACCATTTTAAGAATTGAATGAAAATTCAACAGGTATAAGCTGGAAAAGTTAGGATAGCTTATACTTGAAATAAACACTGCAAGATTTCTATTTAATTAATAGAGACAGGTTAATACATTCTATTTTTGTGTTTCTTTATGATGGGGTCTAGTACCGGTAGTTTCATTTAATTGCAGTCCATATATGAAGGACTGATGTTACTCTACATGTACATTTTCATGTATATGAATGTTATATGGAGCTGCTAATTTTAAGTTGAAGTTGTATTTCTGTATTCCACTGTAAAGCTATAGGTTCATTTGTGAGTTAAGTTTTGACACATGTAGTGAGTTCAGGTGGATTTCACTTGTTGACATTCTTCACTTTAAGCAACATACGAGGATAAAGTTCCAAAGTGTTCCCAACTGTGTAATTATAAGTGCAGGTTGGAGAGCCATTTTATATGCTTGTAACCAATGTCTTTTGCAAAGAATGAGTTTCAACAGCTCAAGTGGCAGCTAACACAAGTGTTGAAAGCAACTCTCTTTGTAAGCAGGAGTATTTTACATCCATCTGTAATTCTCAGATTAATTCCATGAAGTCTTAAGGGTGACAAGTTTGTCTTGTTAAAGCCAGTTTCTACGAAGTCTTTCGATATTATTTTTTGCAGCTGGTAAACGGGCATGTATAACATCAGTAATGGTGTTGTTAATATTAACATCTGCTTACTGTCACTTGCATATTATACTGTAGTTGTTATTGCAGTGTTCATCTGGGTTATATGGATTTGCACAATAGTACAACTTGCTTCACCTGCAATACAAAATAAAGATAATAGTCGCATATGTGAAAGGTATGAAAAGGGTATGAAAATGAATGTAGAAAAATGATACATGTAATGTATATCTTTAATTTGCTGCCCTTTCCCCTCCCCCCTTCCCCCCTCTCCAACCCCCAATAAAAATAAGCTACTTACCTAAATGTGGTGTCCAAGTGATATTTCTTGCTTTTCTGGAAAGGCTTTAAGAAAGGAAAAGCCAGTCATAAATGGTATGCTTTCCTTAAGAAACATTGGAGCTAAATTATCTCTTTGACCTGAAAAATTTATTCTTATGTACAGAATCTGCAAATTCTGGTAGAGTTACATGTAATTTTGAATCTCTATAAGGACTAGGAATTTAAGAACATGAAAAGCACAGGAAATCAAAACCATTCTTTATTTCTGCCAATAAATGTTGTGACTGTTTTCTATATGTGATTCAAATAGTTGCTTGATACACTTAGATATTTATTTGGTATGTAAAGTTACATATTCAGCTAAATTAAATATAATTATAATGATCTCATATGATGCACATGGTGAAATTTTTTTACCAAATATTCAAACAGCTTTCATGGAAATATAAATAGGCTTATGATCACTGTAGTAAGACTCCAGGGTACCTGCTGATTGTACAGATTGTGGTATATTGGTATAAACATGATCTATCTGTG